TTCGGAATTTTACACCAGACATACCAGGCTTCTATTGAGAACTTTGTACAGAAAATTTGCCTTTTCTTACAGAGGATATTTCGTACTCAGAAGGCACTGAGTGGTGACAGAATAAAAGTCTGGATAGAATATGAAAGTGGCATGAGGAATCTTAGTGCATCTTTCCACTGGTTTTATTCATCTTATCTTCATAGCCATGTTGCAGCGATGTGGTAAATGGCATTCATGATCATGAATTATCTAGAGGAAGTAAGATCCATGTGACTGAATCAATTACTGCAATTTTCATTGTCAAAAATGCTTTACTGGCTTCAGCACTGAGTTGGACAGTAAGCTAGGAGATGTTTAACATATGCTTTTGTCTGTTGTTCCTAAGTTGTTTGCCAAGTGATTTTAGCTTTTCTCTGCCAGTTCTGTACTCAAAACCAGAAGTAATACTTTCCTCCTCCACATTTATTGTTAATCCTGGCAAAACACTTCAAAATCTTCTGGTGAGGATGGTGACAATGGCAAAACATTGAAAACATGAATTTTCATAAAGCGTATGTTAAACCTCTCAGAAATTAAACCATTAACTATCTATGTTGATTGGATAACATTACTGTTTTCAGTGTCATTTTTTCAAACGTTAACCCTCCTTGTACTGCAAGAGAAATACAAGGTTTTGAGACTGGCGATGCCAAAATCAGATCTCTCAATCTACCCTTGTAACTAACATTTTCCCTAACAGTTTTTTGATGGGTTGGGTTTTTTAATTTTATTTTTCATTGTTTTGTGTTTTTTTTTCCCCCTTCTTTTTCTCCTTCTCCAGGTTTCTTCTGCTGTCTCCTGCTTTCTTAATAACACAATTTTCCATCTTAATAGGCACCAAAGACATTGTTTTCAGGGTTACCGAGTCTTACACTCATTTACTTCAGTGAAATTGAGGCAAGAAATTGCTTCCACATCTCTGAGACTTGATTCAAGATCTTGCTATTTATCACTTTTCTGAACTGGTTAACTTTCTATCTGGGTCTATAACTTAGCTGCAGGGACACAAATTGCCAAGGTATTAGATGAATGTAAGAGTTTATCCATTTAAATTGGATATCTAGTAATGCCTTTCTTCTGATCAATATATCAGATGATGCCACATCACTGCATCACCACTGTGTAAATGATTACACTGCAATCATTTCTGGCGTTCATGTTTATTAAGCAGAACACTTCATGGGCACAGAATGATAATGGGAGCAATACAGTTCTGAGCCATGCCCTGAATTTCCCCTAGTTAATCACAATTCTTCCATATTTTCTCTGTTTGTTATTACTATAAAGCAAACCGGTATTTCCTTCTGGTTTCAGAACATGTAATAAAGATGGGCAGAACCCACAAAGTTTGACACCAGATTCGCCTTCCCTAAGGACAAAGAGATTCAGACTAATGCCTTGGGTAACCCTTCTCTAACATGCATCAGCTGATTGCTGAAATCAGTGCTAACGTAAATGTTGATACCCTGGAGCAAGACAGTTGTCCCCTGCCATTTGCAGTCATTTTTGGCAAAGATGCCTGTAGCTCCAAGTTTACTGAGTTCATTAAAATGGTTTTATATCAAGTCCAGTCTGTAATTTGGAATGCAACCTCTGAACTACCAGTTACACAAAAGCTCTGTTGCCCAGCCAGTGTTTAAATTGCACAGGAAGAAGTGTGTGGACACCACATGTTTAAAGGTTACCATAACTTCCCTTTATATGTAGGCCTCTCATGTTAATAATTTTGTTTATAGTTGCATAACCACTTCTGTCATACCACAAACAGTATTTGGTTCACAAATTACTTATTTTTAGCTGTCTTATTTTTTCCTTTGGGTATTTTGGGTAGATTTTCTTGGCTTGCTAATTGTATCATTCTTATATTAATTGAATGGTGAACTGTCAGTGAGCCTAGTTGGAAGTTTGACTATGAAGGTCGCAACTTTTGCTTGGGCTGTGAAATTATTCATATAGATGTGAATATACACAGTCATACATATACAATATACATATATTTTTTCTGTAACTACCTGTGTATAAACAATCAAATGTAATTGGTCGATTAAATCAAATACTGAAAAGTATTTGTCTTGTTTAAAAGAAAATATATAAAAGAAATACTGTTTTTAACATAAAACTTTTCACCTGCTACTTCAGAGCTCTTTAGAGGGGCATTAGCTCAGTACTGTAACTCAGTACCATCTCTGGATTTAAAAAATGGAGAAGCTTATATAGTTAAGGATAATTTCTCTCTGAAGCTCATTTAGTGACTTGCTGTTTAAGTGAAAGACAACAGATTCAAGCTGTCTTTTTAGGACAGTTGCTTATGGGAAGTAGCTTGTAGGACAGAAAAGGTGGTCTTCTACAGCTTAGTTTGTAGTTTTTCATTTTTCTTCTCTATATTATTAACTTCTGCCCTACTTAAAAAAAAAATAAAAATCTGTGGTTATGCCCAGACAGAATCAGATTTCTGCAATTTGGACTTGCTATACTTGACTTCCAGAGAGCTTAATAATATCCTGTTTCTCAGTGCAACGATGTTCTCTTAGCATCGTTTCTCTGAGGAGGAGTAAAATGCAACTCATTTTCTGGTGAAATATACTACCAAGAAATCTTCCTAGCTGAGCCACTCCAATGTAATATTGCATACTGCACAAAGCTTTTAAATCCTATCCTAGTCAATATTTCCAGTAGTAAAATTCTACTGAGCTTACAGATGTGATGTACATCTAGTTTCCATTTTGTTGTTCTCCATTAATTTTTTCCACTTTCTTCTTTCCTTGCTTTCTGTATTTCAACTGGTTAGCAGCTAACTTTTTTTTTTTTTCAGTACCTATGGATGAGTTTCATGGAAAGCATGAGTTTCACTTAGGTCACTTGTAATTTCTAATAATTAAAAATGCGTGAATGTTCATTTAATTCACTAAATGTCTCCATTCTCTCATCAGACAGCCTCTGAGTTTGTCTTGGTTTACATTATGAGTTAGAGATTTGTTTTTCAAAATGTTTATTTTTTAATTACTGTCAGTTGCATTCAAAGAGTGAAATCTGCAAAAAACCTCTTCTACTAAAATTAGTGGCTAAATTCACTTTGGAGTTTCATCGTGGAATATTTGTCTTATAGATTATAGAAGTCATGATTTGGCAACTTCAGCCTTTCTGTGGAGTGGCCTCTGTAGGACACACGTGAACTCTTTTCAGCTAACAATATAATTATTTACTCATCACTATTTGTAGCAATATCACCTTTATGCCAGATAATATCAGAGTATCAGAAATAGCCTTTTCCCTTTCAATATTAGAGTCAAATCTTATGTCTTTATCTGGTTTATTTTGTTTGACTATAATTTATGGTCACAGATGGAATTTGTTGGACTGTCATAAATTAATGCCAAATTTCAGTTTATGTTATTGTGCCAGTTTGTAAACTGTGGTGTTTGAGAAACAGATGCATGGGCCATTCAACTATTGGCAGTAACCTATGAATCAGGGCTGGATAGATACCTGGATTCAAGTTGTCCAGCTAAATCTCTTTGTGAACATGAAGCAGAGTCAATAGTTAACAGGAGATTTGCCTCAGGAATTACTAAGTAATTGATGAACTTAGTATTTGGCTCATGGGAGCTGAGGGAAAGAAGGAGAGAGGTACTTTGGGGTGTTTCCCTTTGATCTCTACACAATCTTCAAGGTCTGCTTGGGTGCATTGAGTCAACACCAATGGAAAAAGCTTATATAAATTCTCACAGATGCTTCAAAGGCTTCTGCCTTCTTTATGTAAGAAACAGTAAGTGCTGAGGAACCTTGAAGCTTCAGCCATTTAGCAATGTTGAATTCAGCCTTGAAAACAAATGTTCATGAGCAGACACAAATGCAGGCACCTGAAATTCTAACTTTTTCCACTTTTAAAGGGAAATGGACTAATTGAGAAGGGGCAATTTTCCAAACCCTGCCTCTGCAGGAGAAAGTCATATTTCTTGATTCTGTTTTGCCATTACTTGAGTTAGACCGAAATAGAATTTGTGGATTCCCTGTTACTTTGGCTAGACCAAGACTCTTCCAGATCAGCTGAAGGCTTGCTTAACAAGTTAAAGTTCTGCTTCCACATTCAGCAAGGTTCAACTTGTACACATCCAAGTAACAATTCAGAATTTCATGTCAAGCCTAATGTCCTACAACAAATGTCACAATGCAATAAATCATCCTTCTACATTTCAAACTATTACTATTTAGACTATTACAATGGATATTTCCTTGAACAAGCCTTACTTCTCGCAGAGACTCTTCAGACTTTGCCATTGTATGTTGAAGTGACTGTCATTATTTTTGCAGCAGAATATACTTGGCATTTGAAACCCTGATATGTATGCCATTTGTCCTAAACCATTTTCTATAGTACTAAGTGTAAGAGAATAATTATGGCAGCAACTGCTGTAAAAGATTATAAAACTGAGAGAGAAAAAAAGCACAAAAGGAGAAGGCGTCAAGTTCTAGCTGACTGTAGGGAATGTAGAGATATAAGTAAATTTGTAAGGCTCTATAGGCAGCTGGTTTTTAATGACATATTTAGATATGACACATTTCCTAAGGAGCAAGACATACAGTGAGCACAATGCTTAATAATACTGAAGTGAGCATCAATGCAACACCATGTTTCATGCTAAGAAAGAAACTCCTGATCCTTAGAATATTTTACATACCATATGAAGATGTGATTATTTGAATATAATGAGGAAGTAGTCAGTGAATTAATTTAGAAACGTTCCTGGTGGGAATTTCACATTTTTAAAAAACTCATTTCCATTTTTGATATGACATCAAGCTATTTGCATACTACACGAAGGGAGTTTCCAAAGCTTGCTTCATTGAATTGTTTCCATCCTTCTCAGCCTGCTTCTTGCTTGCTATTTGCATATCTTCATGTGGCTAGCTTTGGCTTGTATTGGTATTTGATCAGTAACTGAATATCACCTGAAAGTCTGCATTCACATAAGGACTATCTGTAGAAGAACAGAATAATTCAGTTTTGTCACACTTTCTTATATTTCTGTTTGAGAGGTTTCTTAGTGACTGGGATGTACATTTTCAGACAGCACAAACAGTGATCGTCAGCAATATGCAAATCACAGGCTGAGATTTGAAAATTCCTGGTGAGCAGAAGTTCTAATACTTTGAAACATTTTATTTTTACTTTGCTTGGATTTTTTTTCTTTTACTTTTATATAGCTGTATGTTAAAGCATTGCTAGTAATGTAGCATATTAAAATTAATATTGTAGTGTAATATGAATAGTTAAGAGAACCCAATAATTAGAATAGGAATCATATAATTTTTTAAACTTAGAAAGTCAAATATATTTGTTTTATCTGTCTAGTAAACCTATTTGTTGCACGGTTTCTTTCAGAAATTATTTCTTTTAGACCAGACAATCTTTTCTGATGGAAAATTGTTTCCAACTACAAATCAAAAAGTAGTCCTGAGTAATTCTGTGTTTTATTGTGAACAGCTAGTTTAACTGGTTGTTCTTTAGAATAATTCTGTATCATTATGCTTGCATTGACAGGTTTGCCGAAGCTAAATGCCTGGGAGAAAAATTAAATGAAGTGAGAAATAATATAAGTGAGTACATTTTAGCTTCATTTTACCTTTTAGCTGATGAAATCACAGCATTCAGAGGATATGGGAAAAGATTCTAGTTTCTAAAAGAATAGGCTCAATGCATTACTAAGATTTCCAATAAGGTAAATTGTTAGCTGATAATAGCAGTAATAATTTTATGTACCAGTTTTGATTATTTCAAATACCATAATGTGAAAAACAGCTCCCTTCTTTAACTGACAGAATGTCTGACATTTATCAAAAGGATAAGTTAAGGTATTAATATTGGATTTTCTGAATTTTATTTTCGGATAAAAGTATCCAAAAACATCATTTCAAATTGTGATGTATATGCATTAAGGACTTTACTTATATATAAATTTATATAGCTTCTGATAAAAGAAGATTTCGTTGTTGAATTACCCCTCTGGGCTTCCTTTGTACAGATTAATTAAAGCAATTCTGAGGAGTGCTTCAGCTTGTTTTTCATAATTTTTTGCTTTAGGGCCCCAACAGCATATGCTTAGCTTCCAGTTTCAGATTGTTCAAAGTCAAAAATCACCTACAGATACATTCAACCCCAAGCTAGGTCTTATCTGGTCCTCCTAGCAGCATTTGATATGTTCCTAGTTGATATCTGAGTTCTGTTGATTCCAAACCTGTAGCTTCTTTCCTAAAAATTGGCTATCCAGGCTCTCCATCAGATGTGAAACACAGTTTTGTCCTCTATCCCTGAAGTCCTTGGAGATCAGGTCCACATCCTCCTGTATGCACACATTCAGCTGAACCAAGTCTCTTCAAGCTTCCAGATTCAGGCTGTGAGGGACACATCTGGCATCCAGGTCCATTGCTCTCAGTTTCTATCTCTCCTTCCTCTTTCGGTGGCACCAGCACGGATATGGACAGTGAAGTCATTATCATCACTTCTTGTCTTATAACAGTAGCTGACTTCTGGGAAAGGACAAAAATTTCATGGCACTCCTGACAAGTGCTCTGTACTTTCACCATAGCCATGATTATATGCTGTGATCATGAATGGTAGCTACTGCCAGATTCCCCTCCCAATCACCTTTGGGTACACCACAAGTCCCTCAGAGATATTATGAAGTATATTTAAAGTTATGTCAGCTGAGGAAGGCCTCAGCCATGTTGGCACTGTGTTTTCAAATCACAGCACAGAGGGTGTTTGGAAGGGATCCAGAACCAGAGGCATCAGGTGCTGAGCCCTGCTGTAGCAGCATTCTGAACTCTGGGTTATTTCTATAACACATGACACTTGAATCAACCTGTCTTCTCTCAGTAGGCTCATTTGTCTCCTTCAGACTGGCCAGAACATAAATGTCAGTGCAGAACTTGTGCATGGATATCCACAGACTGGTCCATGCAAGTAGAATTTCAATATCCACCTTGCAACTGTGGGTGTCTCCAGTGTCCACATAAGCTCACTTAAATCCTGCCAAGTAGGCTTTTTCCTCTGGTAAACTTGGAAAAGCAGGTTAAACCTACTGGGGAGGATAATACATGTTATTCTCCAAGTAACAGGAAGCATCTCCAAGGTGAATAATGCCTGCAGCTTTTGGGCAGAGGTGTGTACATATGTGGCAATAAGTAGCCACACACAAGCGTTCTCAGTGCCTGGGGCTGCGACTGTGCTGCTTGAAGACAGGAGCCTAGCAGCCTCTTTACATACACCTTATATCTGTTGCAAATGTCTTAGGGAGAGAACAAATGTTTGGAGAGTGTGGGAGACAGTACAAGAAGGGGTGGGACACATTCCACTCCTGAAGGTCAGTCCTCACTTGTAGTGTCATGTTGGGACAAGACTTGTGCAGGGACACCCTCTACGACATCAGGTTGCTCAAAGCCCCATCCAACCTGACCTTGAACACTTCCAGGGATGGGCCATCTACAACTTCTCTGGGCAACCTGTTCCAGGGTCTCACCATGCTCACAGAGAAAAATTTCTTCCTAATATCTAAGCTAAATCTATGCTCCTTCAGCTTAAGGCCATTACCCCTTGTCCTATCACTACAGGCCCTTATAAACAGTCCCTCTCCAGCTTTCCTGTAGGCCCCTTTAGGTACGGAAGGCTGCAGTAAGGTCTCCCTGGAGCCTTCTCATCTCCAGGCTGAACAACCCCAACTCTCTCAGCCTATCTTCATAGGAGAGGTGCTCCAGCCCTCTGATCAGCTTTGTGGCCCTCCTTTGGACTTGCGCCAATAGGTCGATGTCCTTCTTGTACTGGCGACCCCAGAGCTGGACACAGTACTCCAGATGGGGTCTCATAAGAACAGAGTAGAGGGGCAGGATCACCTCCCTCAACCTGCTGGTCACGCTTCTTTTGATGCGGCCCAGGATACAATTGGCTTTCTGGGCTGCAAGAGCACACTGCCGGCTCATGTTGAGCTTCTCGTTCACCAACGCCCCCAAGTCCTTCTCCTCAGGGCTGCTCTCAATCTGCTGTCCACCCCGCCTGTAGTTGTGCTTGGGATTGCCCCGACCCATGTGCAGGACCTTGCACTTGGCCTTGTTGAACTGAAGCAAAGTAGATGTAGCCTCTTAAGACTCTATTTCCACAGATCCCCGCAAAATCTAAAAGAAATCCTTGGTTTGGACTGAATTGCTGTGGGATTTTCCCCAATAAGTTAGGCAAAGCTTCTGATAGCTATAGCACAGTAGAGTATGGATTTTGCTGCAATTAAAAGCATCTGGTTTAAAATTTGGTTAAGTTCTTCAGCGTTAGAAGTGAAACAGTGAAGTATATTTGAGGAACATGAATGAAACAAAAATCAGACTGCATATTCATATGTATATATAACCTAAACAGCCAAACTGATCCCTTGAACAAAACAAGCAGCTCTATAACAAATCAGTAGTATTCCACTGAACTTGACAACACTTACGTGCCTCCTAAAGGAAACTGTAATAGCTTGTAGTCCACACGAATGTTGAAAAGCTCCTTTAAGAATCAAACAGAAATGTCTCCACAGTTCTAAGAAAAATTGCAAAATTACACATGTGGTTTTGTTTTGGTATATAAAGTGCAGTTACAGCTAAAGTGTTTTCAAACTGAAAATGAATTTTCTTACTCTTTTTATTTTGGTAGTAAACTGGAAAAATAGTCTTTTCATTTAGTTCATACAGTAATCCTACGGTATAAGCAAGAGATTCCATCCATGTTGTACCCTTGTATAGCTATCCTTATGCTGACCTATGCAGATTATGTAGATGCACACTACTTTCTGGATGGTTTTTAAACACTGATGTCTGAAGCTTGAGAGTGATCATATTGTACAGTCCTTCCTTCAATTTTTTCTGTGTAACTTTATGCAGCATGTGAAAATTAGCACTCTGATTAATATAAATAGTAAATTTTATTCATCTATCATTTTCTTCTATCCAGACTTCTTTTGATCATAGTTGTTAATAAATCTACCTGTTAGCACCTCTCTAACAATTATTAAATCTTTGCATCCAGTCACTTTTTGGCTTATTCAGCTTAGCCAATGCAATTGCACTAGTTTATATAGTTTAGCAGCCTGAAACAATTTTTGAGTTCAATCTGTCTCATCATAGCATACATACTCAGAAGACCATTAAAGATGCTAAGTAAGGTTACTAACCTGCCAAATTTTTACTGAAAATGTGGTAGGAGAAATAAGAGTCATCTGCGGCCTGCAACTAGATCTTTAATTTACTTTTATTGTTGTTTTGGTTTCCTTAAGTATTCCTGGCTGCCTTGTTGTGCACAATCAAGAACAGATCCCATCAATATCACTTTCTGTTATTTCTAAGCTACACTCAGTAGTATAAAACTATGCACCACAGAGGCCATACAGCCCATTTCATGCAATCTGATTATATTTTGAGATAGTGACAGCAGTTGGCTGTAACTTTTATGTCATAAAACCCCTTTCATTCTGACTTTGGAAATATTAGTGTTTTGCAGTAAAATGTACACAAAATACTCCAAGCACTTCTCAATTCCACCAGCATTTCCAAAACATCAGGAAGTTAGGGCTGGAAAAAGAAATTTGCAGTAAGATTTTCAGGGTAGGCTTTTGCTGGTGTTATTGCTTCCATAAAAAGATGAAAGAAAACAATGTCTAGATGTAAGCTGGAGTTTAAGTGTAGAATGACTATAATATCAGAAATGAGACATTGTGGCTAGCATGCCTCTGTGCTACTATACCACATATTCCTGGATTCTAGCTCCTTCTGTGTTTAATAGCACTGCAGAGAATGCAGAGATCTTTAAATTATTTTTATGGAAAACAATATGTATATCTTAGATTTTTCATGATGCTTACTTTTCACAATGACCATCTAGAAATAAGGTGAATTTTACTGTAGGATGAAAATTGTCTTTTTCTGATACTTAAAAAAGAAGAAGAAAAAGAGGGAAGTATTTCTAAGACAGGTAATTGTAGCGATCCTGTTTACTGCATTATCACACAAACTTCTGTATAGGCACAAGTAAAGGAGCTGAGGGCTTTGGTGCAAGCATTGAGGGGCACTTCTTTTTTGAAAGTCAGTAAGCTGCATAAACACACCATCGGAAGGCAGAGAAATGGAGTATGGGCTTTGAACATTTAGGCGTATCTGGATTGGTTTGAGTGAACTATGCAGAATTGTTTACATCTGACTGGAGAATGTACCCAAGGACTAGACTTGAAAAGACACATACAGAAAACCAACATGAGTAAAACCGGAAAGAAATAACTGAGAGGTCACAGAACTAATGAGAACTCTGTAACCAGCGTAGGAGAAGTGGAAATTGGGCCAGCACTGACATACAAATAAATTTTTGCCTGTCTAGTCCAACATTAAGTACTTTTAAAATGTGTATTTCACTGGTTAAAGAAAAAAAAAAAGGGTTTATTTTCTTGTGAAAAAACATGCTGTGCCACTGCAAGTGTTTTTGTATTGTATTGTTTCTAAAGAGTTAGGGTTTCTAATAAGAACTATAGATCCTTTTGATATTGTTGAAAAAGACTTAGTGAAAAAAAAATTGATGCTGA